ACTGAACTCACTAAGGAGTGATCTTACCTCCAGGGCCTGCCGAACTACCCCTGATCCCCCATTTGTGGCCAACTCGTCCTTCGCCCTCTGCAAATCCACCTCAGGGAAATGGAAGCTAATGAACCGCTTCGCAGCCGTTTTCCTTGACTCGTAGAAACTGGCCACTTGCCTGGGATAAGGGATGGAGCTCTTCCCCCTCCCAGGCACCACCACTTCAGTTTCCCGGAGTGATGGATCGATCTGAACTGGGGGCGGCTGAGGTAGGAACTTGACTGGGGCCTCAATCTGCAGAGGCTGCACCTCCTCCACCCTCGACCTCTTCCGGGTGACAATCTCCTTAGTCGCGCCCCTCCTGGGCTCAGAGCTGGGCCCCACTTCAGCTACAGACCCACTACCGAGGTAAGGCCTTGAAGACCCAACTCGCTCTTCTTGAGCACCCGATGTTGGCGCCCTTGGCCTCTTCTCTGGTAACCGCACGGGTCTGCTCCCAGATCTCAGGCGATTCATTTCTTCTGTAAAACCAAATGAAGTCAACAAGTGGCAATTAGACCCCTACTCTAACAAGAACCTGACTTTAATTGATACAGACCTCTGCTCAACGAGCTCCTCCCATAAATTCCAGATGACTCCACCACCTCTGGACTGGTGAGGTACATTATGTTTGTCAGCTCCCCCCCACCCCTCTCCAACCTCTTCACCTCGTCCTTCTCCACCTCCTCCAGCCGGTACTGGTTTGGATTTCTCTTCTTCCCCTTCCACCTACTGAGCTCCTCTACCTCCCCATCCCCCCTCACCCACTCCGTATCATCTACAAAGAAAAATTTTTCCTTCCACCCCTTAATGGAGGTAGGACCTGCAGTGAACAGACTCCTACTCCTACCTCCAACTACCCGAGGTGTGAAGTAAAACCATCCCTTCTCCCTCCCACTACCCCCCTTGATTATAAAAAAATACTTAAATAAATCTACAGTGGGAATCCGCACCACCCGAAGCTGGCAGTACACTAAAAATCCCACTACCAACCGAACTCCATTAAAGACAAGCTGCGTTAACCCCAACCCATATTCCTTCAGCAGCGCTACCAGCAACTCTGGAATTGGGAACCGGAGTCCAGCTGCCAAGTAGTGCGTGTATACTGGCATCCAATGGTCTTTTGGAGCCGAGCACGCTCGCTCCTCACCCCCTGCTGGCCTTACCAGCACATAGGGTGGGATATTGTAGTTCTCCACTAAGTGTGCCAGCTCCCCCCTGCACCTACAGCATGATTCATACCCTACCACCTCCCCCACTACCTCGTCCCTCTCATCATAACACTTCCCACGGTTGTTCCCAACCTCTAAAATATTGGTTGGGACAAGGCTACCTTCTTGGCCCCCATCCCCCCCACTTACAGAGGTCCTACCCCCTTGGCCCCCATCTCCCCCACTTACAGAGGTCCTACCCCCGCTTCCCCCACTCGATTTCGAGCTCGAGCTCGAAGTAGAGATCGAGCTCAAAGTCACATCCCTCGCCACTTCTCCCCCTCCAACACTTAGTGTTTCTTCAGACGACATCTCTGCTATCAGTCTTCACTACAAGAAGTATGCCACCAATAGTAATCAAAATCACCTACAATCTCTATTTTTTACTTCCCCCCCCCCCCTTCCTACTTGAGTGCCTAGCCCCCCTTATCTAGGCTAATAAAATAAAACAAGATTACAAGGGACCGAGGTAGAGCTCAGAGTTACCTGGTTTTCTGCGACGAAGTCTAACACTTGAGCAAATGCTACCAAATATCACGATCTTTGCAACCGTCAGCTTGGAAGACGAAGTGCTCTCACAATTTCAGTAGGGCTTCGCTACAAATTTAGCTAGGTAAAATTATGAATAACTTAAGGCTGGCTATTTATACCCCGACCCTCCCCCGTTTTCACGGTCACGATCGCCCACGTTCAACGGCCACGATCGCGTCCTTTCGAATTCGACAGTTATTCCTGACATCATTTATTACAGCACGGCACGCAAGGACAGCTGTCAACCTCGATTAAATCATTTTATTACATTTCATTTTATTTTATTTTACCTCCGTTCACTTCAACCTTCTTCCAAAGGAATTGCATGATTACATATCTCTCGAACACTTTTCACTCATACTACTTTTTACTTCGGCTCCGGCCGCATCCCATGACCACGTGTCATGCTACTTCTTACTTCAGCTCCGGCCGTATCCCATGACCACGTGTCATGCTACTTCTTACTTCGACTCCGACCGTATCCCATGACCACATGTCATGCTACTTCTTACTACGACTCCGACTGCATCCCATGACCATGTGTCATGCTACTTCTTACTACGGCTTCGACCGTATCCCATGACCACGTGTCATGCTACTTCTTACTTCAGCTCCGACCACACCCCTTAACTCCATGCCATGACATTCACCCCTCAACCCAACGCCAACACAAACTCCCACATCATCCACAAGTGAATGACTTCGTGGGGGGGAATAGTGTCGTGGGTGTAGACAGAGGTACGTGGATAGTCAGAGGTATATAGGTAGACAGAGGTCATGAGACGTAGGATGTCAGTGGTCACGAGATGAGGCGTGCTGTCAGTCCGAAGTCATGTACTCCATAGCTGCCTGAGATGCGCAACCTTTGACATCCGGAGCGGCCCCCAACATCCAGCTACCTCAATTCGATGGAAGGACAACGAGCTCAGTCAGATTCAAGCTCGTCCCCTCTGCTCTTGCTCCGTAGTAGTTCTGTACACATGCAAACCCCTCATGAGAAGTACATACGATGTTCGACACGCGTCACCCAGATTTCTCGGAAGGATCAACACGTGGACATCCCTTGAAGGCCTATAAATACCCCTCCGGGTCCACCTCTGAAAGGTATTGGAAACCAACCTCAAACTCAGCTTTTACTATCACTCCATAACTGGTAGCTCTGATTATTGCTGACTTAAGCATCGGAGTGTCCACCTCGAGAACCAACCTCGGGCCCTTGTAGGATAGCCGAAGTGAAGTCTTAAGATCCAGAGTACCTCCCAGTTCTCTGCAACTACAACTGTTCTCCTTCCAAAGGATTCGATTCTAGACATTGGTTTTCTACCTTTATAACTTTGCATTTTGGTTTCTACTTTACATATATGTAATTAATGAAAATTGATTTTGAAGGTACATAGCTGGCTAGAAATTAAGTACTTTCAGGCAATTGGGGAAGAAGCCTTAGCAATATTGTCATCCTTTCTTTCGTAGCCTGAAGCCACTTAAGTGAGAATCCAATCACCTGCTAGGAAACAAGAGCCTATGGTTCCAATGACAGAAGAAGACTAAGCAGTTATGGCCGGGCTGACTATGGCTGGGCTCCATTACTCAAGTTCGACAATGAGGAGTTGCAAGCATCTTGCTTGAGCACGAGCTGCGAAATGCTGGAGCATGAGCTGCAAGCATCTTGCTCGAGTATGAGCTGTGAAGTGTAGAAGTCCAAAATGATAATTGCTGAATCACGAGTTGCAAAATGCAGAAGTCCGAGGTGCGGGATGCTGAAGCACGAGCTGCAAAGGCCGAGCACGAAGTGCAAAGCTTAACATGAGCTACCGAGGTCAACCATGGGCTACCGAACTCAACCATGAGCTGCAGAGCTCAAACACGAGCTGTCGAGGTCAACCACGAGCTGCAGAGCTCAAACACGAGCTGCCGAGGTCAACCATGAGCTGCAAAGGTTGAGCACAAAGTGTAGGGGCCAAGCATGAAGTGCAGAGCTCCAACACGAGCTTCCAAGCTCAAACACTTGTTGCCGAGGTCGAGCACGAAGTGCAGAACTTGAGCACAAGCTGTAGAGCTCAAACACTCACTACTGAGGTCAGCCACGAGCTGCAGAGGCCGAGCATGAAGTGCAGAAGTTGAACATGAGGTGCAGAGGTCGAGCATGAAGGTGTCAACACCCTCAATAAGGTGCCGACACTTTTCCTACATTCGTATGGAAGAGTCCGTGTCGGGTTTTTGTCTTTCTCTGCAAATTCTGGTAACGGTAAAATTACAATCCCGACCCCTTACTTTTGGATTCTACAAAATTTGATCCTCAAATTTCATATATTTGCAATTTACTCTTAAAGATTGTGACTTTTTCCGATTAAGTCCTCTCCAGCACAGAATGAAAATTATGCAAAATTAAGTAAATTTTTATAAAATTCATCCAAATGTCAATAATATCAAGGCATAAATTTTACATTAATATGTATATAAATTTAGTTCATTAACCATGTATTGTTTTGAAAATTAAAAAAAGATGAACTAGTAATCTTTTTCTTTTATTTATTTTATATAATACACTTTCTTGATTATAAAATTGGATGCCTTTAATTTCTCTTGTTTTCAAGTCCTCGTGATACAAGTTGTTAAGAAAGCAATTGAGCTCCGCAGCAAATTACAGCTTTGGCCCAAGCTTGGTCCAATCTTATATTGAAATTTATTATTAATTGCTTTCCACATTCTTTGCATTCATTCCACATTTTTCCATTCATTCTGCACTTGTTTTTGCATTCATGATATCATTTTGCCATCTCATTTTTTATGTATCATAATCATGCCACTTTGCTCATTTACACTTATGATTAAAAATATACATTGCTATTTTAGAGATGGAAAAGTGCAGGGACTCCATGTGGGGTGGGTTCTAGAGAAATCCCTTTATGGTGAGCTCCTCCTATACGAGCTATGAACAACTCCTCCATCAAAAATTTTCAAAAGGCCGCGGGCCCAAACCATAAAGCTCAACAGCTTACAAAGATGATCAAGTAAATTTCTTCTTTGGCATCATTTATGAGAGGCTAGATTTTTTCTCCACATTTGCTCCTAAGTCAAGGCAAGGAGTTAACATCATTCGTAAGAAGCTAAATTCTTTCTCGAGTTTCTATCTCATCAAGCACAATTTTTTCTCAAGTATAAATTAATTCTACTCTGCAAGTCAAGTAAGTGTTACATATTAGAAATTTCAAAATTATTTTGTACATTTAAGATTTTTATGAGTTATTTCGCATGTCCAATTTTTGTTATTATATTTACAAGCTAGAAAGACTTTTTATTACAACATGCATGACTGCTTGTTTATTGGACATGTTAAAGCATAAAAAATGCAAATAATGTAATTTACGATTACAACGTTTATGTTTACCGACCCCAAATGTGCGGGTTGA